ACTCCATATATGAGTGAAATCATTTGGTACTTGTCTTTCTCTGCCTGGCTTATTTCACTGAGCATAATACCCTCTAGCTCCATCCATATTGTTTCAAATGGTAGGATCTGTTTTTTTCTTATGCCTGAGTAATATTTCATTGTGTATATGTACCACCTCTTCTTTATCCATTCATCTACTGATGGACATTAAGGTTGCTTCCATATCTTGGCTACTGCAAATAGTGCAGCGATAAACATAGGGGTGCATCTGTCTTTTTCAAACTGGAGTGCTGCATTCTTGGGTAAATTCCTAGAAGAGGAGTTCCTGGGTCAAATGGTATTTCTATTTTGAGCATTTTGAGGAACCTCCATAATGCTCTCCACAATGGTTGAACTAATTTACATTCCCATCAGCAGTGTAGGAGGATTCCCCTTTCTCCACAACCTCGCCAGCATTTGTTGTTTGTCTTTTGGATGATGGTGATCCTTACTGGTGTGAGGTGATATCTCATTGTGATTTTAATTTGCATTTCTCTCATGACTAGCGATGTGGAGCATCTTCTCATGTGTCTGTTTGCCATCTGAATTTCTTCTTTGGAGAACTGTTTATTTAGGTCCTCTACCCATTTTTTAATTGGATTATTTGCTTTTTGTTTGTTGAGGTGTGTGAGCTCTTTATATATTTTGCATGTCAATCCTTTATCGGATCTGTCATTTATGACTATATTCTCCCATACTGTAGTATACCTTTTTGTTCTATTGATGGTGTCCTTTGCTGTACAGAAGCTTTTTAGCTTGATATAGTCCCATTTGTTCATTTTTGCTTCTGTTTCCCTTGCCTGGGGAGATATGTTCATGAAGAAGTCACTCATGTTTATGTCCATGAGATTTTTGCCTATGCTTTTTCTAAGAGTTTTATGGTTTCATGACTCACATTCAGGTCTTTGATCCATTTCGAATTTACTTTTCAATATGGGGTTAGACAGTGATCCAGTTTCATTCTCTTACATGTAGCTGTCCAGTTTTGCCAGCACCATCTGTTGAAGAGACTGTCATTTCCCCATTTTATGTCCATGGCTCCTTTATCATATATTAATTGATCATATATGTTTGGGTTAATGTCTGTAGTCTTTATTCTGTTCCACTGGTCTGTGGCCCTGTTCTGCCAGTACCAAATTATCTTGATAACTGTGATTTTGTAGTAGAGCTTGAAGTTGGGGAGTGAGATGCCCCCCACTTTATTCTTCCTTCTCAGGATTGCATTGGCTATTCGGGGTCTTTGGTATTTCAATATGAATTTTTGAACTATTTGTTCCAGTTCATTGAAGATTGCTTTTCATAATTTGATAGGGATTGCATAGAATCTGTAGATTCCTTTGGGCACGATGGCCATTTTGATTATATTAATTCTTCCTATCCAGGAGCATGGGATGAGTTTCCATTTGTTAGTATCCTCTTTAATTTCTCTTAAGAGTGTCTTGTAGTTTTGAGGGTATAAGTCTTTCACTTCTTTGGTTAGGTTTATTTCTAGGTATTTTATTCTTTTTGATGCAATGGTGAATGGAATTGTTTTCCTGATTTCTCTTTTTATTGATTCATTGTTAGTGTATAGGAAAGCTACAGATTTCTGTGTGTTAATTTTGTATCCTGCAACTTTGCTGTATTCTGATATCAGTTCTAGTAGTTTTGAAGTGGAGTCTTTAGGGCTTTTTATGTACAGTATCATATCATCTGCAAATAGTGACAGTTTAACTTCTTCTTTACCAATCTGGATTCCTTGTATTTCTTTGTTTTGTCTGATTGCCGTGGCTAGGACCTCCAGTACTATGTTAAATAACAGTGGGGAGAGTGGGCATCCCTGTCTGGTTCCCGATCTCAGAGGAAATGCTTTCAGCTTCTCGCTGTTCAGTATTATGTTGGCTGTGGGTTTATCATATATGGCCTTTATTATGTTGAGGTACTTGCCCTCTATTCCCATTTTGTTGAGAGTTTTTATCATGAATGGATGTTGAATTTTGTCTAATGCTTTTTCAGCATCTTTGGAGATGATCATGTGGTTTTTGTCCTTCTTTTTGTTGATGTGGTGGATGATGTTGATGGATTTTCGAATGTTGTACCATCCTTGCATCACTGTGATGTATCCCACTTTGACCTGGTCTATTTTCCTCTTGATGTATTTTTGAATTCGGTTTGCTAATATTTTGTTGAGTACTTTTGCATCTATGTTCATCAGGGTATTGGTCTGTAGTTTTTTTTTTGGTGGGGTCTTTGCCTGGTTTTGGTATTATGGTGATGTTGGCTTCATAGAATGAGATTTGGAGTATTCTGTCCACTTCTATTTTTTGGAAAACTTTAAGGAGCTTGGGTGTTATGTCTTCTCTGTATGTCTGATGAAATTCCAAGGTAACTCCATCTGGCCCAGGGGTTTTGTTCTTGGGTAGTTTTTTGATTACTGTTTCAATTTCAGTGCTGGTAATTGGTCTGTTTAGATTTTCTGGTTCTTTATGGGTCAGTTTTGGGAGGTTGTATTTTTCTAAGAAGTTGTCTGTTTCTCCTAGGTTTTCCAGCTTGTTAGCATATAGGTTTTCATAGTATTCTCTACTAATTCTTTGTATTCTGTGGGGTCTGTCATGATTTTTCCTTTCTCGTTTCTAATTCTGTTGATGTGTGTTGACTCTCTTTTTCTTTTAATAATTCTGGCTAGAGGTTTATCTATTTTGTTTAGTTTCTCACAGAACCAGCTCTTCATTTCATTGATTTTTTCTATTGTTTTATTCTTCTAATTTTATTTATTTCTTCTCTGATCTTTATTATGTCCCTCCGTCTGCTGACCTTAGGCCTCATTTGTTCTTCTTTTTCCAATTTTGATAATTGTGACTTTAGTCTATTCATTTGTGATTGTTCTTCCTTCTTTAAATATGCTTGGATTGCTATATACTTTCCTCTTAAGACTGCTTATGCTGTGTCCCACAGAAGTTCGGGCTTTGGGTTATTGTTGTCATTTGTTTTCATATATTGTTGGATCTCCAGTTTAACTTAGTCATTGATCCATTGATTATTTAGGAGCATGTTGTTAAGCTTCCATGTGATTATGAGCCTTTTTGCTTTCTTCGTACAATTTATTTCTGGTTTGATACCTTTGTGGTCTGAAAAGTTGGTTGGTAGGATTTCAGTCTTTTGGAATTTACTGAGGATCTTTTTGTGGCCTAGTATGTGGTCTATTCTGGAGAATTTTCCATGTGCAGTTGAGAAGAATGTATATCCTGTTGCTTTTGGATCTAGAGTTCTATAGATGTCTAGGTCTGTTCTACAGGTCCATCTGTTCTACTGTGTTGTTCAGTGCCTCTGTGTCCTTACTTATTTTCTTTCTGGTGGATCTGTCCTTTGGGGTGAGTGGTGTGTTAAAGTCTCCCAAAATGAATGCATTGCATTCTATTTCCTCCTTTAATTCTGTTAGTATTTGTTTCACATATATTGGTGCTCCTGCATTGGGTGCATATATGTATATAATGGTTATATCCTCTTGTTGCACTGAGCCCGTTATCATTATGTAATGTCCTTCTTTATCTCTTGTTACTTTCCTTATTTTGAAGTCTATTTTGTCTGATACTAGTATTGCAACACCTGCTTTTTTCTCTCTGTTGTTTGCATGAAATATTTTTCTCCAACTCTTGACTTTTAATCTGTGTATGTCTTTGGGTTTAAGGTGAGTCTCTTGTAAGCAGCATATAGATGGGTCTTGCTTTTTTATCCATTCTGTTGCTCTGTGTCTTTTTATTGGTGCATTCAGTCCATTTACATTTCAGGAGATTATTGAAAGTTATGTACTTAATGCCATTGCAGGCTTTAGATTTGTGGTTACCAAAGGTTCAAGGTTATCTTGTTTACTACCTTACTGTGTGACCTAACTCGGTTATTGAGCTGTTATAAACACAGTCTGATGATTATTTCTTTCCCTTCCTTTTCCTCCTCCTCCATCCTTCATATGTTGGGTGTTTTGTTCTGTGCTCTTATTAGGAGTTCTCCCATTTAGAGCAGTCCCTCTAAGATACCCTGTAGAGGTGGTTTGTGGGAGGCAAATTCCCTCACCTTCTGCTTGTCTGGGAATTGTTTAATCCCTCTTTCATATTTAAATGATAATCGTGCTGGATACAGTATCCTTGGTTCAATGCCCTTCTGTTTCATTGCATTCAATATGTCATGCCAATCTCTTCTGGCCTGTAAGGTTTCTGTTGAAAAGTCTGATGGTAGTTGGATGGGTTTTCCTTTGTAGGTGACCTTTTTACTCTCTTGGGCAGCCTTTAGTACTCTGTCCTTGTCCTTTATCTTTACCATTTTAATTATTATGTGTCTTGGTGTTGACCTCTTTGGATCCCGTCTCTCAGGAGTTCTGTGTGCCTCCATAGTCTGAGCACCTATTTCCTCCTCTTAGTTTGGGGAAGTTCTCAGCAATTATTTCTTCAAAGACACTTTCTATCCTTTTTTCTCTCTTCTTCTTCTGGTACCCCTATAACGAGGATATTGTTCCTTTTGGATTGGTCACACACTTCTCTTAATATTGTTTCATACCTGGAGATCCTTTTATCTCTCTCTCTGCATCAGCTTCTGTGCGTTCTTGTTCTCTGATTTCTATTCCATCAATGGCCTCTTGCATCTTATCCTTTCTGCTTATAAATCCTTCCAGAGTTTGTTTCACTTCTGTAATCTCCCTCCGGACATCTGTAATGTCCCTCCAGATGTCTGTAATCTTCCTCTGGACTTCATCCCTTAGCTCTTGCATATTTTCCTGCAGCTCTGTCACCATGTTTATGATTTTCATTTTGAATTCTTTTTCAGGGAGACTGGTTATTTCTGCCTCTGCAGATCCTTTCTCAGGTGTAATTATCTTGGACTCGATCAGATTTTTTTGCCTTTTCATCTTAATAGCAGTAGCTGTAGGCAGGTTGTGGGTGTGTCAGTTGGGAGAAGAAAGTCCTTTCCTGCTTGCTGGCTACCTGCTCTTCTGAAGCAGCCACCGGGTTAATCTCCTAAGATGCTGTGGGCCGGGTGTCTGTCAGAGCAACGCGGATCCTTGCAGGGAGTGGCAGGCAGGCCAGGTGCACTCCTCCATGTTAGTGGTGACCCTGCTGGGCAGATGTGTGGCAGCAGCGGCTTTTGATTCTGGCCCTGGTGGCTGTGCATTGGGCTCGGATTCCAGTCAGCTCCTGGGAGTGTGCCTGCTCCCTCTGGCTCTGCTGCCGGTGCACGCAGGGCTTTTCCATACAGGCTTCTACCAGGCTCTGGCTTCACTTCCACCGGTGCATGCGAGCCGTGCCCGGGCTGTTCAGTCGCACCGCTGCAGACTAGCCCAAGCCTGTCCTGCGGTGTATGGATCTGCTCTCGGTTCCTTCCAGTGCTTTGGCCCCTGGTGTGTGCTCCCTCTCTCCTGCTACTGGGCCCATGTGTCAGGGTCCACACCAGTTGGAGGAACAACTGGCAGGTTGCCTATTCCTGTGTGAGTCTTCACAGCTGCACTGCCTCCATTTAGGGCACCTACATTTCCCCGGTATTCCCAGCTGCCCGGAGAACTTCGTCCAGCTATAGGGTCCCTGTCTCTTTAAGACTTGAATAAAGCACTCGCTTTTCTTTTGTCTCAGGGGCACTGGTTGCGTGGAGCTGCCCACTGGTTTTGCTTTTCCATTTCTCTAATATCCAGCACCCCATGCACCTTGTGTCTGCGTTCCGGGTGCAGATTTCTATAGCTGGTTGTTTAGCAGTCTTGGGCTTTCACTCCCTCCCTGTTCCGACTCCTTCCCACCGGGTTTTGGGGTGGAGGATCATTTGGGTCCTGCCTGGCCGTGGCTTGTATCTTACCCCCTTCGTGTGATGCTGTATTCTCACAGATGTAGATGTGTCCTGGCTGTTGTACTGCACCCACTGGTGTCTCTTTCAGGAATAATTGTATTTATTGTATTTTCATAAATACATATGTTTTGGGGAGGAGATTTCCTCTGAACTACTCATGCCACCATCTTCCTGTGATCCCCCTGCCCAGCTTATTTTAGCCATACCTATGTGCTATATTTCCTTCTCTGATCCTAACAAAGTAATCTGAAACCTGGAAAAAAGACTAATTTAGTAAGCAAGCCCAACTATAAACAGCCCAAGAAGTTAAGAATTAAGATTCTCAACTTACTTCAGCAAACAGGCATCTACCCAGCCCACCTTGGGGGCAGGGTAGGCAGTCTTAATTTACATGCTCCCAGAGGACAACTGCTATCTTGAGAAAGAATCAGAGCTGAAAATCTCCTCTGTTACTCATCAAGAATGAGCATTCTGGGACCACTCAACAAGTCTTCACTCCTAACCCTTTACCCTCATTCCTGAAAATCCTCAACCATGCATAAAACCCCTAGACAATGAGCCAACCACGGACTCTCTTGTCCCCTCCTGGCATGAGCCAGGATATTTATTCTCTCACTTTATTTCTTAATAAAGGCCTGTATCTTGCTCTCCTATCTTGAGTGTTTGTGAAGCTCATTCTTCAGCTTCGTGAACAAGAACCCTGGCATCAATACCATCCATAAAGAGTCCACCCCTGGGGTTTTCCAGCACTGTAGGGAAGGCCCATTAACTCTCAACACCAGAAAAAATTACTCTCTTCTGCTAATCAGAGCCTTTCTCCTGATTCATGTAATATATGAAGCAGCTACCCTTACCACGCTGGCAATGTCTGTTGAAGAGCCACTAGCAATAGAGAAAGAAGGGCCCAGGAAGGCCAAGGTAAATACCACCAAACAGACTTCTCACCAGTGCAAGAAGTGTGACCTCTTGATGGGGCACTGTGAGTACATCTTCCTAACTAAACTCAACTGGAAGGCACCTGTGAGATAAGAACGTTGGGGGAGGTCAGTAGTCACACTGTTACCTCCTCAGGCCATCACCTTCTTCTTTGGGTCTTCCCCAATTAGGCTGCTAAGCTAGGTTTGCTTCTTTGTACAGCAGGCAAAAGTGTAAAGAACAAAGTGAAGAAACTCACATATAGTTCTCATATAGTATAAATTAGTACAATTATTTGGAAATGCACATATCCTCTGGTCTTTCCACATCACACCCATTATGTAACCTAGAAAAATGGAAATGAACTAAAATATTCAGCATAAGACATGGGATAAATAAATAATTATATAATCCTATTAGGTAACATTATTACAAAGCTCTTAAATGATGTGCATGTATTAATATAAATAATCCAGAGGGGAAAAGAAAATTAGAGTATATAGTTTGATATCATTTATACTAAAGATATGAAATATAAAATAATTTCATAAATTACCTATGAATATATACATATATTAAAAATAATACAAATATTAAAACATTGGGTGGAGAATATTGTGCAGTCATGGTGCTCATAATGCTCATATCCACATTCTTCCCAACATTTTGCATACACCCTTGTAGTAAGGCAATCACAATTTTTCTGGTCAATGGTCTGTGTGTAGAAGTAATGTGTGTCAATTGTAGACTGGAGTAATTAAGAGCCAGTATGTCTCTTCTATCTCTTCCCCTGTCCCACCAAGCTGGAAGCCACATGGTCTAGATGGAGGTAGTCTTTGCATAGCAAAAAATAAAGTTTTGTAGTATTAAGTCACTGGGACTTGATAATTTGCTACTGCAGCATAGCCTACTAATAAGATACATACAATTTAATGACAGTGGCTACTTCTGGGGAGGTAGGGAGAGCACCAAAATGGAATACCATTAGATCTGTGGATTCTTGTTCTTTTAAAAAAAATCTGAAGCAAATATGTAAAATGTTAATATTTAATAATTATGGATGTTTTGTAACTGAACATTTTTATTTTTATCTTTTTCTACATGTTAAGTATTTCTGCATATTTGAATTTATGATTTAAAAAATATGACAATAAATTAAAAAGAATAAGTAAATAGGCATACAGCTGGTAAATACATAAAAATGATAGACAGACAATTGGATAGTGACATATGCACAGACTAGGTTGTAGTACTTCATTCAGTCTTTTATTAGTCCTAAGCACTAAGGACTCCTACAAACTTCATATCACCACAGGTTTACAAATATTAGCATTTATAAATTGCTCTCTAACCCTATAATTTCATTAGAGCTAGACAGGTATCCCATGAGGTATGAAGAACAATAAATATCATGACTAATATATATTTTTCAGAAGAGGGAAATGAAGTTCAATCATTTTCAAGGACTTGCAGAGGGGTATACATTGTGGAACCAGGATCCAAATCTGATTCCCTTGCCTATCTACTCTACTGGAAGAAGTAAGTGAAATCTTTTCTACTACATCTTGTTGCTACCCAAAGGACTGGAGAGGAAAGGGAAAAATAGGACTAGATACACACACTGAATCTCAGAGGTGGTGGTCCACTTTGTGCTTGGGATGCACTCTTGGTCCTGCAGGCCTCCAATACGTGGTTTTTTGTAGAATCTGTGGTCAGAGCAATAAGGGATAGTAAGGTAATCAAACAAGGAATGCACCTGGATTGGTCCTTCCTGATACCATAGTCTTGCCCTCATGGAACTCAGCACCCACCCATACCCCTCATGAGTTATCTGTTTCTAGTCTGATTCTGACTCAGAGTCCAAGACACTCCACCTCTTCCCCCATTCACCACACCATATAGCCACGAAGAGGAACTACTGTCATAAGAGAAGGGAGCATTGCTTTGATGCCAACTGCTTCCTGGTTTTTAGGTCTACAGTGAGATTTACCGTGAATCTTGGGCCTGGACTAAGCATGTCAGCATGATGTAAAAGCAATTAAGTACTCATCTGTGGCTGACTGTGCTCTAGGTACTTTTTAGAGGGATCTTGGGAAGACAATGCTTCTCATGGGAGTTTAAAGTTATCATGATATGGACAGAATACTTCAACTAGGCTCTGAGAAGTAAGGATGAGGGAGACCTCCAAGGGCTAGAGAAGGCCCAGAAGTGCATGGTCTCATACAGTGGGCTTACCTAGGCAGACAGTCTCCACAGACAGCATTAGAGTTGGCTGTACAGTTACCTTCTGGACACGATTTATGACAGCACAGGTGATGCAAGTCTGACATCCATGGTGGCCCCAGCTGCTTTTATATCTGCAGGGAGGGCAGGCTGTGCAGTATGCATCTCCACCCTCTCCATAACCACAGTCCTGCAGAGAGATAGGAGCCACTAACATTGTTCTACAGGAATTTGGAGACAATATCAACTATGAGACAAGTGGACATTGTACAGAGTAGTGTTTTACAAGCTGCAAGTTGTAACCCATTACCAAGTTCATGAAATCAACTTACTAGGTTACAACTAGCACTGAAAATTGAAACAGGACAAAAGAAAATAATTATTTCAAGTATCGTGCATAGCATTCACTAAAACTGGTATTTATATGAGTTAGTATAGTCTAGGTTATGCTATGGCAAAAAGCAAATTCCAAATCTCAGTGTCTCAAAACAATAAAAAGTTTCTCACTCACATCATTTGTCTAGCAGAGGTTTCCCAGGGTTCTGCTTTACATTATTCTTAATGGGTTACCCAGGGTAACAAAGGCTTTATCTTTGTGCTTCCATGATTGGAGCATCACGGAAAAGAAAATATTGTGAACTGTGTACTGCCTTTTAAAGTTTTCCCAGAAATCATTTTGCTCACAAGTCTTTGATTACATATATCACCTGATCATTAGCAACTGCAAAAATAAAAGAAAGTGCAAGTCTTCAACATGCCAGGATGTGGAGAGCTGGTTGCAATGGATGAATAGCTGTAATCATGACCTACCTCAATATTGTTTTGTAAAACTTTTATGATAAAATATAAGAAGTACGTGTGGAGTTGTGATGAAAAAATTATTTCTTACTCTTGATAGCAGTCAAAAATTTGTGGATGTCAATGGTACAGAGGAGAGAAGAGTGATCCAGCTGGCTCTTGTCTCAATTATGGTACTGACTCCATGTAACTTTGACCAGCCCATCTTCATTTCTGGGTATCAGAAGCCCCAGGATCTGAAGAGCCTAAAATAGGTGGCCCCTTAATATTCTTCTAGCTCTAAAATTGTAACCTAGGAACAAGATTCCTGCCTTATATGTCATAGGTCTTTCTCAAAGACACAACTGTAGTTATGAAGGGATATCAGCTATTCGCTAGTTGTGGCAGAAGTTGGCTGGTTGTTCACCAAAATTATTGCCCTTTCTTCCTGGGAATAACACTAGTTAACACTCCCTAACCCTACTGAAGTTAGGTGGAATGGTGTGCCTAATTTCTAGCCAATGGAATATGGATAAAATGATGTGTGCCTCTCCCAGGCCTGGCCCCAAAAAACTGCCTTTATGCTTAGTTGATATTTAAAATATCCTTAATTTTCTTTATACTTTGACTTTCTGATACATAGGGACACCCAAGGAAATGTTGAAATTAATTAAAAATGATAGTGGACATCAAGGAAATGGAGGAGGCAGGAGTTCCAAACTTTCATTCCCTCAAAGAATCATAGAGAAGCAAGCAGAACCTGTCAGAATCAATGTTTTCAGAACACAGTAAAGGTTTACAGAAATGAATAAAATACTGAATCAAGAAAAATGCAATTCGAAAATGGTAGGAAAGGTTTGTGACCCTTTTACTTGCTCTCATAGTACCCCTTATCCCAAAGCAGCACCAGTCCTAAAGTGAAAGCAGGCAGTCTTAAAGTGGCAGCAGTTTGTGCTCCTAGTTTGAGACCTTCATCTCTAGTTCCAAAGTGAGCTGAGCAAAACTTATTCACTCAATTACTGTGTATATTTGCTTTAACTTGTCTGGGGGGCTACCTGAAGGACAAATACAAGGTACTCACCTCCGTTTCACTCAATTCAGAATGCAGATTGGAAAAGGGTGTAAATTTGTTTTAAAACGTTCCAAAGCAAATGAAAACCAAAGATGCCTGGGACAATAAATTATGCACGAAGATATAATACACGGCCTAAGCCTGGGAGCAAAAGCTGGGTGAGATTCTTTAGGAAATTATGATATTCAAAAGCACTCATATATATGGAGGGATTTAGAAAGGCACATGCATGCCCAGGGCAAAACACATGCTTAGAAAAGACTGGCAAACCCCAAAGCTTTCACATTGTGCTGATCCAAAGGCTAAGTGCAAGTTTGACTAAGTGTTGAAGGAATGCTTTAGCACAGAGCAAATATGCAAAGACTGGAAGAGGTACATGCTTTTGTTTTTGTTTTTGTGATAGTCATTTGGTCTCTTAAATCCTGATATTCATAGAAATCTGTCAAAATATTAGCAGAATATGATCTAAATTAATACAGACTTCAGCGACAACATATGGCAAGGGATACAGTCCTTGCAAAAATAATTTGGAAAAAAACACCTAATAAATGGACTACTATAGCCTTCAACAAATAAAGTTTAAAACACCCACCTAAATGTGGGGAAGGGGTAGAATATGATTTAAAGAGTAACATTATAACACAAAAATGACCAGTTTTCAACAACAAAAAATTACAAGGCATACAAAGAAACAGAAATGCATAACCCATTTAAAGGAACACATAAAACTGACAGAGACTACTTCTGAGGAGGTCCAGACACTGGAATTACTAGACAAAGATTAAAGAGTACAGATGTACCTCAGCGATATTGTGATTTTAGTTCTAGACCACCATAAACAAAGCAGATACAGCAATAAAGTGAGTCAAATGATATATTCTTGTTTCCCATTGCATATAAAAGTTATGTTTACATTATACTGGAATCTATTAGGTATTCAATAGCATTATACATAGAAAAACACAATATATATACTTTAATTAAAATATGTTATTGCTAAAATTGCTAGTCATCATCTGAGTTTCCAGTGAATTGTTATCTTTTTACTGATGGAGGGTCTTGTCTTGCTGTTGATGGCTGCTGACTGATCAAGGTGGTGGTTACTGAAGGTTGTGGTGGCTGTGACAATTTCTTAAAATGAGACAGCAATGATGTTTGCTGCAGTGAATAATTCTTCCTTTCACAATTTCTATGTAGCATGTGGTACTGTTTGATATCATTTTACCCACAGTAGAACTTCTTAAAAAATTCAAGGCAATCCTCTCAAAACCTTCCCTGCCTTATCAACTAAATTTATGTAATATTCTGTATTTTCTTCTGTCATTTCAACTATTCACAGTATCTTCACTGGAAATAGATTCTATCTTAATAAACCACATTCTTTGCTCATCCATAGGAAGTAACTCCTCATCCATTAAAGTTTGATCATGAGATTTCAGTAACTCAGTGACATCTTCAGATTCTACTTCTAATTCTAGTTCTTTTGCTGTTTCTTCCACATCTGCAGTTGCTTTCTTCACAAAAGTCTTTAACCCCTGAAATTCATCCATGAGATTTTTATTCACTTTTTCCAAATTCGTATTAACTTTGATATTTTGACTTCTTTCATGAATCACAACTGTTCTTAATGGAATCAAGAATGGTGAATCCTTTCCATAAAGTTTCAATTTACAAAACAATTTCAACTTACTTTGTCCAAATCCATGATAAAAATCACTAAGTATGGCAGATTAATTTTATGAAATGTATTTCTTAACTAGAGTTAAAAATCAAAATTTTCCTTTGATCTATGGGCTGAAGAATGGATGCTATGTTAGAAGGCAATGAAACAACATACATCCTGTTATACATCTCCATCAGAGCTTTTGGGTGACCAGGTACATTGTCAGTGAGCAGTCATATTTTGAAAGGAATCTTCTTTTTTTCTGAGAAAAAGTTTAAAAACTATTCACTAAAACATGGTGTAAATAGATGTGGTGTTATCTAGGCTTTGTTGTACATCAGCATTTGCTGCTTTATCTTGTGTTTCAATGGAGATGGCTTCTTTCCTTAAATTCTGTAGACCAGCCTCTGCTGGCTTCACACTTTTCTTCTGCATCTTCCTTACCTCTATCAGCCTTCACAGATTGAAGAGAGTTGGGTCCTTGCTCTAGATTAGGCTTTTGCCTAAGGAATATTGTGGCTGTTTTCATCTTCTATCCAGGCCAATAAAACTTTCTCCCTTCCGTAATAAGGATGTTTTGTTTTCTTACCATTTGTATGTTCACTAGAGTAGCACTTTTAATTTATTTCAAGAACTTTTCCTTTGCATTTACTATTTGGCTAACAATTTGGCTGAAAAGGCCTAGCCATCAGCCTATCTCAGCTTTCAGCATGCCTTCTTCACTAAATAATTTCTAGCTTCTAATTTAAAGTGAGACAGTTGGCTCTTCTTTTCACTTGAATACTTAGTGGACATGTAGGGTTAATAATTGGCCTAATTTCAATATCACTGTATTTCAAGGAATAGGGGTCAGAGGAGAGGGAGAGAGACTTGGACATGACTAGTCAGCAGAGTAGTCAGAACACACAAATCTATCAATTAATTTTGCATCTTAATATGGGAAAAGTTTGCAGAACGACCAAACAATTACAATACTAACATTAAAGTTCACTTGTCACAGATAACCGTAACAAATACAACAATGAAAATGCTTTAAATATTGTGAGAATTACCAAAATGTGACACATAGACATGAAGTGAGCAAATGTTATTAGAAAATGGTTACAACAGACATGCTTGACACAGGGATGTAACAAACTTTCAACTTGTAAAATAGCCCAATATCTAAAATATATTTGTACTATCTTAAATATGTTTAAAGAAAAAATATACAGACAAAGAATTAAGGGAAATAAAAGTTTAAGTGTATGAACAATGGAAATATCAAATAAAAATGTAGAACAAAATGAAGGAGAAATATTGGAGTTAAAAAATAAAATAATTGAGATTAAAATTTCACTAGTAGAATTCAACAGCAGATCTGAGCAAGCAGAAGAAAGATGAGCACACCTGAAAGTAAGACAGGTGAACCTATCAAGTCTGATAGGTAGAAATAAAAAAGAATGAAGAATGTAAAGAAAACCTAAAAGACCCTCAAGTGGACTAACATACACATTATGGGAATCTCAAAAGGAAAATAGAAATATAAAGGAACAGAAAGAATATTTGAAGTTATAATGCCTGAAAGTTTCCTAAATTTGGCAAATAAACATTCCACAATAACCAATGAACTTCCAAGAAGGAAAAATTCAGAGATATATATTGTGTCATAACCAAATGTGGATAGCCAAAGACAAAC